TTCTCTTGGACTGCACGTTGTGCCTGTTCCCACACTTCGTGGAGTCGGACATTACAGACACCCTCGAGGATGGAGCATCAAACCTATGATATCAGACGCACGGCGAACTCAGGATCCTTCACGCAGCTGCACCCGCAAGACACGTGTCATTCCCGGTCTCAAAGCCCCAAAAGTCTCAGCGAGCCAGCCCCAACAGGTTTTTAGCGTGGCTCATCGTACATAGCTACAGTTGAAGATGCGGGTAAGTCTTTTGTCTTTCTTCATTGCTCATTCATGACTTCCTTTCAATGATATTTCTTTCCACCAAGGAGGCACACCTGCTATTGCGCTCTTTGCATCCAAATACCGGTACATATATGTGGTGCATGACCACATGCTGGTGGCTATCCGCCGATGAAGTGGAGTACTCGACGGGCCTCGAAGGTTTCAACAATAGCAACGATTTCGGGTATTTCTGTGGAACTACGGGCGAAATTATATACTACGAGGCACTCTCGTACAAAAACTGCTGAGGTTGATAGGAGAAACTTCAGGTGTTTATAAGCTCGAAGCTAGCTCCTGGGTGAGTCAGTCCTTTCTCGTAGTCTTCAAAGCCTGGGTGCTGGTGTGCGATGGTAGTGACAGGCGTAGACAGACAGTGACGGTTCATTTGTGATCACAGAACTTGCGGAATTATATGATTATCATAATAGAGTCGACGTACACAGTTCTTGCAATGAGGCACCGAGATTTGAAATCTCAAAATCTGTTGAAGCTCATTTTCGAATGTTTTTATGTAAATGCCACTCGCAGACAGGCTCGAACCATGATCATCTTCAAAGGCCGTGAATTGTTAAGGACAGACACTGATAGAGTGATCCGACCGTCCCGCTTGTTCCATTAATTTAAAGCGAGCCATTGCCACAGCTGGAAAACCGCAGTGGGATCCTTGTGTATGGGAACGCACTAGTTAGGTAGCACGTTGTAAAAGTAGTGGCTGGTCAAGAGTCTTGCCAGCAAACGATTCATCAAACTCGCGGCCGCAAATTAGCTATGAATAGGGACAAGAAATCTGAAAGATACGGCAAAAAAAAATACTGCTTCAAGTCAAAATAGATATCGCAACAAACAAGAGCAAGGACAAAACTAAAATACCCGAGGACATCCAAGAAAGGCGCTAGCAGCAGAAACACGATTTGCCACCTCCATGTCCCCCAGTGTCTGCCTGTATTACTACTGGTTGTCGTTGCTGTTGTGTGTTGGGTTGTTGTGTATTGGGGTCCGGTGGACCATCATCGAAATATTCAGCATGTATAATGTCCGGATCGTCATCAGGAGGAGCACCCGCTGCAGCATTACGCTGTAGATATTTACATGAGATACCCAAGACAGTGATGAAGACAGATCGAGCGCACCTTTCGACCCTGTGCAAAAGGAACATCGACGACGGGTGGTGCTGCGTGATCGGGTCGCCAGGTAAATAGGTGTCGTACGTGGGCTGTGAAGGTGGTGGGAGCAGCGGCAGGTGATAGGGCGGTGGGCGGTGCAGGTGGAGATGAAGGTGAAGGTGGAGGGACTGGACGGGAACTCCTTGTCATAGCGAGCCTGAGTTTCTTGAAGCGCCCTGGGCGCTGCTGAGGTCGTGGACTGGAAATCTGAGAATGCTGTAACGAATGGTGAGAGAGAGAGAAATGAAGGATACACTGATGCACAAACACCACGCATGCCCCGGAAGAAATCAGGTTCTGCATCAAAGCCATCTTGATCTTGCCCCGGAATCTCCGCCTGCAAAACTTAGGTCAGTAGCGAAAAGGTTGAGAAAGGGAGTACATACGCCAAGAATGCGGTCATCACGAGCAGTGAGCGCGCTACATTGTTCCTTGAATTCTGAGTGAAATGCGGGTAAGTATGGTGGCTTCGAGTGACATCATTGAAAACTTGCTGTTGGACCAATCGAGGGAGCTGGCCTTCTCAGTTTCGTCGATGGCGTCCATCATGTGTTGGTGTGATGCGAGGGCTTCCTCGACTTTACCTGCCGAAAGGAAAGCCTGACAACGTTTCTGGTATGCAGTGAGCCGGAAGGACTCAAGATCCCAGCCGAAGAGCTGAACAAAACACTCAGTTATGAAAAAAAAATCGGATGCATCATGTCAACGTACCACGATGAAGTCCTCGTATATTTCATGGATGAATTTCAATGGGAAAGCGCTGGAGTTGATGACGGCGGCAAAGTGGTCAGCAGCTTCATCATAACGCGCGGCATCCAAGGCCTCGGTTCCAAGCTGAACGCGTAGATATGTCTAATGTGCGAGTCGCAAAGATCAGTGTCAATAACCGAGCGTAGCCACATGATACTTACTTCTACGACACAACACGTGAGGGTATCAGATTTCGGAAAAGCGGTGGCTAGCTCTTTGATGAGCAGCATTGCCTCGTCATGTTGATCTGCATTGAAGAGGGCAATGGCCTGAAATACGGAATGGAGCAGAGCGCATGCGAGACGAAACTAACTTACCTTGATCAAGAGAAGAAAATGGATGGTTTGTGAATCTTGGTTCGTGAACATAGTTGCGAGGTCAAATGCTACCCTCACGTCCAGGACATTGCCTTTTCCGCAGAGGGCGATGGCCTTGGAGATATAGCCTGTCATGGAGGGCTTAATCATGATGGACTATGTCACAGATTTGAAAGTTAGCCTTTCATAAGAGGGCCATGATTGGTCTGTACGACTGACCTTGATTGCATCCTCAAGGGCGCGGTCCCAGTCTTGTTTTCGCGCCATAACGAATGAGCGATTGGCATAGGAGATATAGTTTTTGGCGTTGGCGTCAATCTCTTGCGTGAGTAGCTGTTCAGCGGTAGACAAGTCCCCAGCTATGCATGAATCACGGGCTATCGTGATAGTAGCGAGGATCTGCATGAAGCATGCTCGAATTGCGTGACACGAGTCAGAGATGGAAACTCGCCTTTGAATGAAAACCCTTGCGTACTTCCCACTCCGAGATCTGATTATCTTTACCTCCACTGAGGATATACTTGCCATCCACGGAGAATGTGACACATGTCGTGGGGAATGAGTGCCGGAAGGTGGCAATGATTCGTCGATCTGAGAGCCGCCATAGATGGACATTGTTCCCTTCAGCCTGAGTTGTGGAAGCGACGAGCGTGCCAGCAGGGTTGACGGCGATGGCTTTAATCCCCGTAATATTGGCCTTCCAGGGACGACCGACCTTCTCCCAGGTTGATGTATCCCACTCTTGTATGGCGTCAAGGGCTTGACCGGCAGAAAGAAGGCGTGTGCCATCGGGCGTCCACGCGAGTGAGTTGTGGAAAGTCTTCAAGGTTGCGACGTGTTCCCTGGTGCCTGGATTATAAATTTTGATTTTGCTAAATTTTGCGATGGCAAGAAGTTCACCAGACGGCGAATATCGAACATCATAGGCATCATCATTGAATTCAATTTGATTTCCTTGCAGCTGCCATGTTTTGGTGCACCACAGCTTGACCGTGTCGCCGTATGAACCAGTGGCCAACACTGTACCATCCGCGGAAAAGTCCAGCGAGCTGACATGTTCGGAGTGGGCTTTGATGGGTTTGGTGAGAGATTCTCCTGTTTCTCCGTTCCAAGCACATTGATGACCTCTCCAGAGTAATCACCGCTTGCTATTATTTGCCCATCTCGTGATACTGCCAATACCCGCACCTCACTGCGATGCCCCTCCATCTTCTTCAACACAACACCTGTCTTCAAGTCCCAAAGACAAAGTGTCTTATCCCACGAGCCCGTAACCATTCTTCGTCTATCGGGGAAAACTGCGACTGCGTTTACGCGCTTCTCATGACCTTTAAAAGTTCGAAGTGGTATGGTGATTGGAATGAGTTTCGTCATTTTACTTCAGGTTAGTAGTGTTGAGCACGGTCGAGGTGGACTTTGGAGGGTTTGTGAGCGTCTGTGTCTCAGCTGCAGAGGTGCGTGTATTGTGCGTTTTTACCTTACTTCACTACATTAATCTGCCTCGTTTCCATAGACGCCCAAGACACGAGGCTTCCACAAATACTCCCTATTGTCGCGTTTGCTTTCCTCGACAGTAGACCCTCCCGCCGCCTCAGCGCTGTATACATTCGTCTGACTCTTGTCTCCACGTCTTCCAGCATGTATGCCCTCACATCATAGTGCAATTGCTGCTTCCTGACGCTCGTATCTGGCCGACAACCATCTATCCTAGATGACCGCATCAATATTGTTGTTTCTGTTGTTAACAGTTCCTCCAACACATCACCGTGTAACCTTCCGAACACATACGTACACCTTACTGCAATATCATCTCTTCATCTCGTCGACTCGGACTCCCAAGATTCGCGTGTCCACCAGATGCGGCAAAATATCTTTCCCCTCACGTCTCAAATCAGCTACTAATTGTGTGACGGAGTTCCTGCCTTCCGAAGCGCGTTCAATCCAACATTTATATGAATATTTGTCAACGACAGGCGCTGGGCCAGCGAGTGGGTCTGGTAACGGCATTGACATTCCTCCAGAACAGCATCCCCAGTCCACACATCGATCACGAACCCAACCCTCGCATCGGACATCGTGGGTCCCAGAATATGAGCTTATCGTCACACCACTTCTCTGATACCCCGTACTCTCATTAATGTATGATCTAGCCGCGTTTCCTCCAACTCTTCAACTTCCTAGCCGCGCTGAAGGTATACGGCAAACGTTTTGTGCAATCAGCAGTAATTTTGGCGGTTTCCTGTTTTCATGTTCAATATTTAACCCGTTTCTCTTGGACTGCACGTTGTGCTTGTTCACACACTTCAGTTAGCTCGTCGAGTCGGACATTATGGACACCCTCGATGAAGGAGCGTCAAACCTATAATATCAGACGCACGGCGAACTCGGGAGACTTCACGCAACTAATCTCACAAGACACAAGTCATTTCCGACCCTGAAGCCGCAAAATTCTCCCAACAGGCGTTTTGCGTGGCTCATCATGCATAGCTATAATTGAGAAGATGTAGGTAAGTCTTCTCTCTTTCCTCGTTGCGCATTCATGACTTCCTTCTAATGAGATTCCTTTCCACCGGAGAGGCATGCATGCTATTGCGCTCTTTGCACCCAAATGGTGCATTTTAGGCGTCTTCTGTCATATGGCTCATGTGGTTTGTCTCGCGCGAAGGAAGAAATGCGAGGCATATCGAGGATCGGATTTCGCTCTACTAGCAACGATTTCGGGCATTTCTGTAGAACTACGGGCGAAATTATATACTATGAGGCATGCTCGTGCAAAAGCTGCTGTGAGGTTGATGAGAGTAACTTCAGATGTTGATAGGCTCGAGGCTTGCTCCTGGGTGAGTCAGTCCTTTTTCGTAGTCTTCCAAGCCCAAGTGCTGATGTGCGATGGCAGCGACAGGCGTAGAAAGACAGTGACGGGTTCATTTGCGATCACAGAATCTTCGGAATGCCATGGTCATCATGATAGACGTACACAGTTGTTGCAACGAGGCATCCAGATTTGAAATTTCAAAATCCGTTGAAGCTCATTTTTGAACATGTTTTTATATAAATGCCACTCACAAACAGTCTCATAACTGACATGTTGATCTTCAAAGGCCCAGTGAATTGTTAAGGACAGACACGGACAAAATGATTTGACCATCTCGCTTATTCCATGAATTTAAAGCAAGCCGTTGCCACAGCTGGTAAACCGCAGTGGGATCGCCCTTGTGGACGGGAACGCGCTAGTTAGGCAGCACGTTGTAAAAGTGGTAGCTGGTCATGAGTTTGGCAGCATATAAACAATTTTCTTCACACTCGCGCCCGCAAATTAGGTATGAATAGGGACGAATCTGATGTCAACATAGATATCGCAACAAACAAGTTAAGGACAAAAGTGAAATACCCAAGGCCATCCAAGAAAGCCGCTAGCAGCAGAAACACGACTTACCGCCTCCGTGTCCCCCAGTGTCTATCTGCGCTGCTACTGGTTGTTGTCGCTGTGGTGTGTTGGGCTGTTGTGTATTGGGTTGCTGTGTATTGGGTTGCTGTGTATTGGGTTGTTGCGTATTGGGGTCCTGTGGATCATCGTCGGAATATTCAGCACGTATAATGTCTGAATCGTCATCGGCAGGAGCACCCGCTGCAGCATTACGCTGAAGATATATGAATGAGACGCCCAAGAGAGTGATAAAATCGACCGATCGCACTTTTTGACCCCACGCAAAAGGAACATCGACGACGGGTGGTGCTGCATGATCGGGTCTCCAGGTGAATAGGTGTCGTATATGGGCTTTGAAGGTGGTGAGAGCAGCGGCAGGTGATAGGGTGGTGGGCGGTGCAGATGTGGGTGCAGGTGCAATAGGTAGAAGTGGGCGCCTTGTCACAGTGAGCCGCAGTTTCTTGAAGCGTCCCGGGCGCTGCTGAGGTCGTGGTCTGGAAATTTGAGAATGCTGCAATGAATAACATGAGAGAGAGAAATGAAGGATACGCTGATGCACCCACGCCATGCATGCTCCGGAAGAAACCAGGTTCTACATCATAGCCATCTTGATCTTGCCCGGGGATCTCAGCCTACATAATTTAGGTCAGTAACAACAGGGATGAGAAAGGAAGTACATGCGCCAAGAATAGGGTCATCACGAGGAGCAAGCGCGCTACATTGTTCCCGGAAGTCTGAGTGAGATGCGGGTGAGTATGATAGCCTCCAGAGGGACTCAAGATCCCAGCCAAAGAGCTGAATGAAGCACTCAGTTATGAGAAAATTTTCGGACGCATGATGTCAACGTACCATAATCAAGTCCCCGTACAGATCATGGATGATTTTTGATGGGAACGTGCTGGAGTTGACAGCAGCGGCGAAGTGGTCAGCAGCTTCGTCGTGATGCGCGCCATCCAAGGCCTCGGTTCCGAGCTGAACGCGTAGATATGCCTAATGTGTGAGTTGCAGGGATCAGTGTCGATGGCTGAGTTTAGCCGCATGATACTTACTTCCACGACACGACACGTGAGAAGATCAGAATTCAGACATGCGGCAGCTAGCTCTTTGATGAGCAGCATCGCCTCATCACGTTGATCTGCATTGAAGAGGGTGATGGCCTAAAATGCGAAATGGAGCAGAGAGCATGTGAGACGAACTCGGCCTACCTTGATCAAGAGAAGCAAATGTATGTTTTCTGAATCTTGGTTCGTGAACATGGATGCAACATCAAATGCTACCCTTGAGTCCCGGACACGGCCTTGTCCACAGAGGGCAATGCCCTTGGAGATATAGCCTATCAATGAGCGCTGAATGCTGATAGACTATGTTACGGACAAAAGTTAGCCTCTCGTAACAAGGTCATAATCTATTTAGTCGGTATGACTCACCTTGATTGCATCCTCGAGGGCGCGGTCCCAGTCTTTTTTTCGCGCCATAATGAACGAGCGATTAGCATAGGAGGTATAGTTGTTGGCGTCGGCGTCAATCTCTTGCGTGAGCAGTTGTTCAGCGGTAGACAACTCCCCAGTTAAGCATGAATCACGGGCTGTTGCCGCGATAACGAAGATCTGCATATTATAGGATGCTTGACTTGCGTGACACGAGTCAAGGATGGAAACTAGCGCGCACGTTTGAATGAAAACCCTTGCGTACTTCCCACTCTGAGATCTTATTTTGGTCTCCGCTGAGAATGCTATTGCCGTCAATAGAGAAAGTGAGCCATTCCTGGATGGATGAGTGCTCGAAGATGGCAATGGTTTGTCGATCTGAGAGGCGCCAGAGACGGACGTGGTTGTCTTCGGATGCGGAAGCAATGAGCGTGCTAGCAGGATTGACGGTGATGGCGGTAATGGTCTTAGTATGGCCAACACTGTGGGTAGTAGTTTAAATGAAAATCACTGGAAAATGCGCTGATGCTGAATGTTTCAGAGTAACTTCCTCTGAAACTGCATGCAGTTAATTTCATTGGAGCGCTGATTCTGAATTTCAGCTGATCACCCTCAATTCAGCACCATCCTTTCAGTAGAAAATTTACTGAATCAAATTCAACCTCCATACGAGTCGGGATGCTAATTTGTTTAGTGTTCAGGACTTAGTGAAATTTTTTCATTTTCTATGTGACCGTACTTTGGTATATATTGCTATTAGTATGAGGATATACCAATGGTCTCGTGGGTTAGCGGTAACGATGCTCTAATTGTCCTCGCTTTGGTCTCGTCAAAATGCAGACAAACGAGGAAATAGCCAGCAAGTCGGGGACCCCGTTGTGCGGACAAGGGGTCCCCAGTAAATTCGGACCCAATCCCGAGGCAGTACCTACATACAAACGCCAGGTACATATAGGTAGAAGGGCGGGAAATGGGTGGGTGCGCAAATAATATGCTAACGATACGAGTAAATCGAGTGAGTATAGACTAGAACGAGGGACTCGTCTCAGCGTGTGTTAGGATAAACGCTAATTGCATAAGTACCTAGAACGAGGGACTCGTCTAGAGTACATCAGTAAAGAGTAGTAGTCTACAAGAACAAGAACATACCTCAGCGTGTGTTAGGATAAACGCTGAGGTGATATATGTGCGCGGGCCTCAATACTAAATATGATTACGTAACGGGGGGCTGAGTGTCGATGGTGAATCACTATACAGTACCAAGAATCAAAGTAAGTACGAAATGGGAAGTACTATAGCCAATATGCCAATACACCCCCTCACCGAGACACCAGCTGCAAGCCGGAGAGGTGCTTCAAAAAGAGAGGACGAGCCAATGCTTTGGTCAAGATATCTGCCGTGTTGCGGTGCGAAGGAAGCCATTTGAGAAGGAATGTCCCTTTGGCGATGTGCTCGCGAATAAAAAGGTAACGGACGTCGATATGTTTCGATCTGATATGATTGCGGGCTTCTGTGGACAAGGCAATTGCGCCTGTGTTGTCCATTTCGATGATGACAGGGAGTGGAAGGGGGAGATGGAGTGCGGTGAACAATGATGTGAGCCAGAGCCCTTCCTGAATGGCGTGCGTCATTGCCATGTACTCGGCTTCGGTCGAGGAGAGCGCATGAGTCGTCTGTTTCTTTGAAACGTGAGTGATGAGACCGCCACCATAGTACCAAGCGTATCCGGAGATGGACAACCTATCTTCAGGTGCACTGGCCCAATCCGCATCGCAGAATCCATGTAGGTCTTCATCCGCTCTCTCCCCTCCATACTGTAAGCGAAGATTGATGGTTCCAGAGAGATAGCGCAATAAGCGCTTGGCGGCTGCATAGTGTGAAGGGAGTGGAGCGGCATTATGTTGAGCGAGCGAATTGACTGCAAAGGAGATGTCGGGGCGAGTGCAAATCGCGAGATAGAGCAGTTCACCGATTAACTTGCGATAGCGTGAACCAAGGTTGGTGATGGTGGGATGAGCATCAGTGGGGCGTCCGAAGGGGTAAGTTGGGTCCAGTGGTAGGAGGACAGGGTTGCATTCAAGTAAGTTGTACTCGTCGAGGAGGTATGTTATATACTCCCCTTGATGCATCCAGAGTCGTCGCGAGAGTCGATCTCGCTCGAACTGAATCCCTAGGAACTTTGTTACCTCCCCCAGGTCCTTGATGCCAAATCGCGAGTTCACCTTGAATTTGACGTAGGTGAGGAATTTCGGTGAGTTGGATGTTCCGAGGCTGTCGTCGACGTGCCAACCAATGATGCAGAAGGTTCGTATCCCGGTGGAGGTGTCAGTGCGATCGAAGATGAATACGGCATAGTCGACGGCACAGCGAACAAACCCGAGCTCCTCCATAACGCTCCTCACCTCCTCATACCACTCCATGGCTGACTGCTTCAAGCCATAGATGGTGCGCAGCATCCTCCACACGATAACCTTCCAATCGCCGTCCTCAAAGCCCTTCGGTTGGCGCATATAAATCTCCTCTTTTAACACCCCCCAGAGGAATGCCCGTCGTGCGTCAAAGCTCTCCAGGTTCCAGTTGTTTTTGCAAGCGACTGATGCGATGACGCGAAGAGACGCGGTCTTGAGGACTGGAGCGAATGTAGCACTATAGTCGATCCCGGGGATTTGAGAAAAGCCTTGAGCTACGAGGCGAGCCTTGAAGGATGAGCCCCCCTTATTGTCGTCCTTGAATTCCAGTACCCATCTGTTTCCTATTGCCTTTCGTCCTTCTGGGAGCCTCGTCATCTCATATACTCTCATCTCTCGCATAATCTCAAGTTCCTTCTGCATTGCGCTCAGCCATTCAGCGCGGTCAGAGCGTAACATCGCTTCCTCAAACGTAGCCGGAGGGACTGACATGTCATAATCCTGACTTGCGGGGTCACGTCTGCGGTTACTGCGGATAGCTAAGTTGGAGTGCTCTTCGATTATTAAGTTCGCGAATGTCTCGGTGACGTCTGGATTTGCTTCCACGTGCTCGAGGTTCACCTCTTCTTCAGCGACAGTAGGAGTTGTGTCGGGCACCCCCTCAGTGAGTGCGCGTTGAGCCAGTCGATCTGCTCGGGCACGGCGCAGATCCTCAAGGTGCGCCTTTGACGTTGCAAGGTCAGCTGCCAGAATCTTCCCCCCCGGCGTCAAGACACGTGTGCGAGTGGACTTGCGCAGTGGAGCTGGAGCTGACTGTTGGATCGGGGAAGGGGGAGCTGGGAGGGGAGGTGGTGGTGCAGGTTCCTGTTGAGAGTGTGGCTGTGGGACGGCGTCCTCTTCGTCGTCATCAGAGTCATGGCTATGCGCAATGGATGGTACATTCTCGTCGAAGACCACATCACGGGAAACGAAGAACGTGCCAGTAACTGCATCTCGCAGTCGGTAACCCTTAGAACCGTCGGGATAGCCAAGGAACACAGCCTGACGTGACTGTGGGCCCAGTTTGGCCTGCAGCTCAGTAGGGATGCGGGCGAAACACCGTGAGCCAAAAATGCGTAAGTGCGAAAGGTCTGGCTGTCGGCCATTGACGATCTCGAAGGGAGTCGTGCCTGGTGGAAGAGCGCGAGACTCACTTCTATTCCACAGATAGCACACGGTCAGAGCTGCCTCCCCCCACAAGTTGGCGGGCAGACGTGCTGTCTCGAGCATAGCGAAGAGCCTGCCTTCAATGGTGCGCATCGCGCGTTCGGCCTTGCCGTTTTGCTGATGCGCATAGGGTGCCGACAGCTGCCGTTCTATTCCAGCGTCCTGGAGGGCATGCGTGAATGCGGCGTTGAGAAACTCTCCACCATTGTCCGACCTAAAAACCTTAACCTTCCTTTCCATGTGGTTCTCCCACCGCTTCCTGACGATCTGCCAGGCTTCAAGGGCCTGGTCTTTTGCTGCAAGGAGTTGCAAGTTGAGGAGATTAGAGTGGTCGTCAATAAAAACGATGAAGTAGCGTTTGCCGTGTGGTGTGACTACTGGGAAGGGTCCACATAGGTCCGAGTGCACTAAGTCCAACGGATGAGCTGCACGGGGTTCAGTAGAGGAAGGAAATGGTTTGCGTGGATGTTTGGCGATTATGCAGGGTTCGCAACGTTGAAGCGGCGTGTTTGTCTCCACTTTGACGCCGGTAGCAATGAGGTTGACACGTTTGACTGCCTCGCCGCCAATGTGGCCGAGCCTCGCGTGCCAGAGGTCCCATGTGAGCGGGGATCGCGCAAACGCTGTGATTTCACTGGTGGGTACGCAAATGGGTGGGGATAGGTGAGAGTCTGGACGAATGAACTTTAAGTCCACTGGGCACAAATTGCCGTGTAGAGGAATGTCACCAAGTGCTTCCCCTCTGAACACCAATTGACAACGCGGTGGATTCGGCCTAAAATTACATTCCCACCCTTTCTTCAACATGTGCCCAACAGATAGTAAGTTGACTAGTGCGCCTGGGGCGTGAAGACAGTTGGTGAGTCGTACTCTCCGAGTGTGCCCGTTGATTGTCAACTCAGCGAGACAGTCGCCTCGGCCAGAGGTGGGCAGTGACCCGTGGTTGGCCGTCTTGACCGTTACTGACGAGCTGCTGGAATACGTCCAGAAGTACGAGCGATCCGTGATCAAAGTGGAGGTGGTGCCAGAGTCAAGAATGGTGGACAGAGACTGTGAAACGAGGAGAGAGATGTCTTCAAGGTGAGGAGTGATCTCTTCGATGACTGCACAAGAGAGTTCGCGTCTGTGAGAGGACTCTGAAGCGAGGTTGGCTGATTGGGGATTAGACGAGGAAGAGGCGGAAGTAGCGGCTGTGTTATTGACGTTATTAGGTGTTTTGCCCTCGGTGGCATTAGCCGTAACATCACGTCGTTTCCCCGCCTTTTGTCCCCAAGTCGTTTTTCCCTCCATACCGCCACCTTGTTGCATGCAGTGATCGCGATCATGGGTGAGTGATCGGGGAAGTCCAGAACAGACCGGGTTCTCACAAGGTACGCCTCGTGGGTTCTGTTTGTGAATGCGCACGCCTGTTGCTGGATTCACCTTTCGTTCAGGAAATGAATGAGTCATGGTGTTGGCTGCATTCGCGTACTCGGATCCGGGCCTGGCTAACTTCAGTTGTCCGCACTGACGATTTGCTTCTTCAGAGAGTGACGTGGCGAGATGCTCGAACGTCATCTTGGGTGGAGGTGCAGTTGTTGACGAGGTAGGGACTGATTGATTGTTGTAGGAACCAATCGCGAGGCTTCTGAAAACAACCCATTGGGGCGAGTCTGGAAGTCCATGGAGAAGCATCCAGATCGCTTCCTCATCTGTAAATGTCACCCCCATTTCGGCGAAGCGTCTACGCCCGTTTTCGAATACACTGAGATAGCGTGAGGCATCCTCGGCGTCTTTCAACTTCTCGGTAAAAAGTTGGGTGCGTAATTCGAATTGTGAAGTTACGTCTAATCGCGCGAATCGTTTCGCTAGCATGTCCCACTGATCGCGAGCCGAGAAGCCCTCGTCGAGCATGTTTTGAACTACGGGGGAAAGCTTTCTCCCGATGATGGCCTTTGCGAGTGCGTCCTCTTTCAGCCATTCTTTTATTAATTTCCGCTCATCAGCGGTAGCCTGTCCTGCTGTTTGCGGAGCTGGTATAGTACTGGCGTATTCGGCTACGTCATTTGGATCAGTGCCAGTACTACAATGGTTCCACAGGCCTTCTCCCGCGAGCGCGAGTTTAACTGCTCTGCGCCAGCTCGGGTAAGTGTCTGCGCCGCCCAGTTCTGAGATGTGATCATATTTTCCCATCGATGACAGATAGTGATCGTGGATTCACGCAAGGTGAGATCGATAATAATAACTATTTGATTTCGATCGGTGGTTGAGCGTCCTCAACGCGTTCTGTGAGTTTAATCGTTCCTAGTCTGATTTTCGAGCTAATTAAAGCTCAGGGCTCATAACCTATAGACTAGAACGAGGGACTCGTCTCAGCGTGTGTTAGGATAAACGCTAATTGCATAAGTACCTAGAACGAGGGACTCGTCTAGAGTACATCAGTAAAGAGTAGTAGTCTACAAGAACAAGAACATACCTCAGCGTGTGTTAGGATAAACGCTGAGGTGATATATGTGCGCGGGCCTCAATACTAAATATGATTACGTAACGGGGGGCTGAGTGTCGATGGTGAATCACTATACAGTACCAAGAATCAAAGTAAGTACGAAATGGGAAGTACTATAGCCAATATGCCAATAGTGAGAAGAGGAGAAAGATAAAAACTAAGCAGCGTACCTAGTGAGACGAGTAAATCGAGTGAGAAGAGGTTAAGGAACCCCTCAGCACTCCGCCCCGCTAGACATAGACTGCGAAACTCCACTTAAGGAGGTGGCAATGAGGATTGCACTCGGCATGATCGAACGTGCCGAGAAATGCGCAGGGCATAAGCCAATGAGGCAAGGGGACAGGCCCCAACAACAGAGGTAACTATCGGGAGGACCCGAAGACGAGTCTGCTAAGGAGCACGCTCACCCAATTACCCTGGTGTAAATAAAGTTAAACTCGACTAATTGTCCTCGCTTTGGTCTCGTCAAAACACAGACAAACGAGGAAATAGCCAGCAAGTCGGGGACCCCGTTGTGCGGACAAGGGGTCCCCAGTAAATTCGGACCCAATCCCGAGGCAGTACCTACATACAAACACCATAATACCAGCTAACGAAGGGAGGGAGGGAGGGAAAGGTTAATAAAAATACATGACTGGAGATTAAATAGGAATAAGTAAAATATATGAAAAGAGAAGTAAGGACTCAGGAGTTAATGAAACGGAGACACAGGATCATGTATAGACCCATGGAAGACGAGCGCATGAAGCAGGGCAGGATTTTTGCGAACATAAATACGAAATGAGTCACTGGACCACCGACCCATGGCCTGAATGCGGTCGCCCGAAACGCCCGAGACTGCAAGTGAGGTTGCACCACCCGCCCGCAGAGAGTGACCCGATATAGAGTCGGGGAACAAAGAGCGCAGACGTGCAATGAACCATGCGCGAGTAGGAGTAGATCCGTTCTCGCGCAACCATAGGAAACTGTTAAACGGGAACAGCTTATCCCGAGATGCGAGATAAGTGAGAAAGGCTTGATGAGGATCAGCCGAGTTAGCCCGCTGAATAACGATGGTGTTGCCTTCAAAATTGATGTCAGTTTTGTGACGTCGAAGGACAAAAGAATGGTGTGTATCGGCAACAATGACGGAGGTACGCAGGGTAAGCTTTTCAATCGAACGAATAGAGGCGTTGTCAGGCCAAACAAGTTCACCGAGACGAAGTAAGCCATAGAATCCATCAAAGAGCTGAGAGATGAACAAGAGGTCGTCATGGGAAGGAGGAGCGGGAAGTGAGTCAAGTATGGTCTGCAGGTCCGCACGCGAGAGAGGAAGCTTTCGTTGGACAGGAACACCATAGCGACGTTTGGCACCACGTAAAGTGCGTGAAACCAGGCGAGAACGCTGGTTCAGACGAACTTGGGGGTAATATTCCTCCAGGATGCTGGAGATACCGGACAAGTAGTTGTCTACTGACCGAGGATTGATGTGAGCAGACATAAAGGTCACATAGAGGGAAAGCGTGTCAGCCGTAGGATCCAGAGCGAGATGATGAAGATCGCAAAAGGCCACGTAAGAGTTAACTGCCGAAGAGTAAGTTTGATTAGTGGACTTGTCAAGGGCGAGACCGAGATTGACAGAACGCTCATGAATGAGACGTTCCATCGGCCAGGCAGCTCGAAGAGGCTGCCAAGCCTCAACCGAAGACAAAGTCACTTTTTGGCTGCCCCCAGCGCAAATCGAGGGGGTTGGAACGGCATGATACGTAGCCCTGGGGAGCATTGGATTGCCTCTCCCGCACGCCAACGAGAAAGGTGATCAGCTACCACGTTATGTTGCCCCGAGATATGGAAGACCCTAAAGTCTACTTGAAAGATGAGGATGGTCTCAACGACGTCCATGAGCAAATGGTTATATCCCGGTTCTCCAGCCAACGAGTTAAACATGTAAACAGTGTTCAAACTGTCAGTGTGAACGGCCAGTTTGCCATGGGTCGGAAGACGAGTGACGGCGTCATGAATGGCAGAGGCGACACATAAGGCTTCAGTAAAGAAGATATCAGAGATAGGAAGACGTTCTGGTAATCCTGATTGGAAGGCAAGGTTAAGCGCAGGATACCAAAAGCCCATTCCGGACCCTGAGGCGTCACAGAAAACCTCAAGGACGTCAGGAGGGAGAGGGTTGAGATCCCAGGAGACAGATTTGAGGAGGTAGATACCATCCGAACGCTCGAGATGAAAAGCGGCCCAAAGGAGTTCCTCGACGACACTGTGATTAAGCCAGATCATTCCCTTAGCGTTGGATTTGCCCTTAATCTTGGCATAAACAGCCGAAAGACCTGGGCGAAGGAGCAGGCAGACGTTAAAGGCCCAGTTAAGAGATCCGGCGATGTGTTCAAAGTCGCGGAGAGTTCTCTTTTGTTTATACCTCGCGAACATCCTGAGCTCCTGGACTAACTTCTCTTTAGAATCTTCTTTCAAAGAAATCTTCATCATATTCGGGTCCACGTCGAAGCCGATGATGGGTAACGGGGACCCGAAGAGCTGTTTTCGTTCCTCGTGAGGGATGCCTAGCTCATCCCATAAGAGAAGCAAGGTGACCATTTCCGATGGAAGCATCTTTCGATACTTTACGTAGTAGGCCATATCGTCAAGCTTGGCGAAAGAGAATGAATCGTCAACGTAAATGAATGCTTGTATGAGACGGACGAAGATTGCAAGCCAGATGACGAGGGACATAAAAGCGTGGAAGATGCGCTGCGATGCCCGACCACCAAACACGTTAGCGCGATCTACCCGCCTTTCCCCATCAAATGTGACGACTTGTTTTATTTGCCAGAGGGGATGCATGGGCATATGACGATAGGCTTCGGAGACATCTGCCTTCCAGATAAGAAGAGTGTCGAAAGGGTGAGAGAGACGATATTCTCGGATGGCATCACCAAGGTCCTGAACATTGTCCAGAGTAACCCCTGCAATATCTTCTTTTGCGATCATAGAGTTGAGGGAAAATTCCCCCGCGCTATGATTAGTAACTAACCGATATTTCCCACCTTCCTTCGGTACAGCGTGAATAGGCATGCTATACATCCCGGGAAGAAGATTGGGACCGAAATTCGGTGAGTACCTCCCGACACGTTCCTCCTTCAGAATTTGATCCCGAATGAAGCTTCGTTCCGAGTCGGAAGACGGAGTGGAAGAAGGAACATCCCAAGTTGTGGGATAAGTCCCTACATGAGTGTCTGCCCAAGGCCAAAAGCCTTCGCGGAGTCCTTGGCAAACAGAGTGAACAAAAGGGAGGTTTGGATGACGAGCGTGAGTGAGTAAGGTTTCAAAGCGATCAATATCGATAGGGGTTGAAACTGAGAAGAGATGTGGGTTCTCAGCAATAGTTTTCAATGCTGCCGAATTTTCGTATTCTGAGGACAGCGGACGAGGCAAAGGTTCAGCAGATTCGGTCCACAAGGCAGTCGCACTGAGAGATTTAGAATCATTACCCCAAACCATCCGTCTCCGAAATCTTTGACCCTGCGCAATCGTTTCATTTAGCCGCCTTTGCCATTGAGCAGTATCCCCGCTGATGCCCTCCTCGACATCTACTGCAAACGTGGAAGCGGGGACAATCGGCTGACGATTTGTCGCAAGCCCCTCGGTTCCAGTTATGACATGCTTCTCCTCGACTTGACTGATCTGACCTCCCTTTCTTCCCGAAACCAGATCCCTTCGAGACGGCCTTTTCCCCTGACCCGGCACTGAGTTGGTGAAGGTCGGCGTAGGCGACCATTCCGAGGGAGGATAAGTGAGAGACTTCGAGACGTCGGAACTCAGTAATGTCGTCGAAGCGGAGATATTTTCGTCCTTCAATTTTAAGCCGACAGGCTTTGTCGAAATCAAGGATTCTGGTGTGAAGGGCGTAGTGCACGTCAATGAATAGGCTGGAGAGGTAGCGCTTGTATCCTCGTAATTCAACTTCCTTCCACGGCATGATGAAAGTAAGTGCCTCGATCCATAAGTCCGTGGCAATACTCCAATCGCCGTAGGTTTTAACTTTGTGTGTGGTGGTCGGTTGAGACACGGTGATTTCAAACCCTTTCCTGAGGGATTGGGATTGCTTGGGGTCAATGATGGTGGAGTAATGGCCGGACAACACCTTTTCAAGGTCTGGGGCGCGTCCTTCAAGTAAGAGGGTCCACTGTGACAACGGGAAGCTAGGACATCCGGGTGTAGCAGTGACCTGCCCTCTGTAATACTTGGTTTCTTCGGTCCATTCCTCGTAGCAGCCAAGGGTGAGCTCTTCAGCTCGTTTGCTTGAGACGTGACGGTAGAGCGTGGGTTCGAGCCAGGGATAAAAACAGGCTCGTTCGGTAGTAAGTTTCCGTCTCTTCCCTCGCAATACGTACTCATGCTCGTTCCCTGACTCACTACTTTCATCCTCTTCGGATAGATCTCGTCTGCGCAATCTCTTTCGCAAGTTTTTCTCTTTAGAAGTTCCCGACTCCACCGAGCCTTGTCGTGAATGGATTGAAGGCTCATTGCGGGGTTCATTCCCGTTATTGATAGCTCCTCTGACGGACGAGGACTCATCTGAGGCGTGGTCGAGTAACTCAAGGAAATGGATGAACCCCGGTTTGAAGTCGAGTTGGGTGAGTACATCTGATTGACTGATGGCGGCTTGGAGAACGATCTGAATCTCCAATAAGGCTGTTCCCTTCTCGATGGTTCCCTTTCGATAGTCATCGACGAGTTTGAGACACTGGGAGACTGAATCTTGGTTGAACTCGTGTCGGGATTCTGAAGAGGGGTTGGAAGAGAAGGTTTGGGTCGTTTCAGCATTGTCAGACATGAGAAGAAGACTTCGATGTGATTAAAATGCGCAAATAATATGCTAACGATACGAGTAAACCGAGTGAGAAGAGGAGAAAGATAAAAACTAAGCAGCGTACCTAGTGAGACGAGTAAATCGAGTGAGAAGAGGTTAAGGAACCCCTCAGCACTCCGCCCCGCTAGACATAGACTGCGAAACTCCACTTAAGGAGGTGGCAATGAGGATTGCACTCGGCATGATCGAACGTGCCGAGAAATGCGCAGGGCATAAGCCAATGAGGCAAGGGGACAGGCCCCAACAACAGAGGTAACTATCGGGAGGACCCGAAGACGAGTCTGCTAAGGAGCACGCTCACCCAATTACCCTGGTGTAAATAAAGTTAAACTCGAGTAATTGCACTTGCCTGAGAGCCAGTTCGGTAACTGCTGTATAAGCAAAATGTTCGAAATTCAGAATTGTGTTGTGGCGCAAGAATGTCGGGATGTAAACGGCGGAGTCTGGAGCCCATAATGCTATATAGATACATCAATATACTACTATAGCCCTAAAATAGGGATACATTATCCAGTCTACTTGTCCACTGTCCACACTGATATATCCAATGGTGAATCACAATAAGCAATTTTAGGCTGCAATTTTGGCTCCCCAAAGCGAAAATTCATAATATATATTCCATTTTGGTAACCTCCTCATGTCAGGCCTCCCCACATTATTCCCACACATCATATGTTCGCATTTTTCAGCCCCACAGTGTGGGAATTACCCCACAACACCAAAAACATCGCCCATTTTGGGAATCTCCACAATATCAATTATTCCCACACCCTTCCCACCTCACTGCAGCTTCACCACCACCCCACAATAGGTCCCCCTTCATATATAAGTAGTAGTTTGGTATATATATGTATATTATAATATAATAGTCCGCTTTTTTTGTTTATTTGTGTACCTGCTCCTCCTCCAGGACCCTTTCAACATAGCCTAGGGTACAGAACACTTTCGCATTTTTGCCCCTATGATAGGGAAGTGTTCTAAGGTATTCAGAACATGTTCAGGAGTATATATGAATGTATTCCCATCTTTATTTTACCCCCTGAAGCGCCCTACAACAATAGTTATAGCATATATACATAGAAATACAAAATATGTTCCCATGTGTGCATTTCCAAGTGAACAGACTTGAAAATTGTATCCCCACAATCCATTAAGCAGTAGGAACAATGTATCAGGAGACCAGGACCACAGAACAACACCCTGCTGTATGGTATACCCCCCTTCTTCTGGTGGTTTACCCCCTGTGAAATTTTTTCCTGGAAGGCTGGACCTTAGATATGGCAGGGAGTCTATTCCTATACATATGTGGAGTATATCTATCATATAGCTACCACAGGAAGCCTTTAGGGTCCTTCAATAAGAACAAAAACATAAAACATCACATATTTCACTTTTTTGATGTTTTGCACTATCTTACCCTTTCACAAATAATACAACATGCTCATATATCATTAGTATGGCATATATACATGCTTTATATACCAAAGATCAGTTCAAAATAGGCCATAGTTGTGGAATAGTGTATATACTTTCTAAATCTACTGATTAGGTTCCCATACCTTCAAAACATCGAACTTTTATAATCAGACACCTGGAGTACATTTCACATATATTCAGCATCATAGGCCTAAATGTACAGAAACATCCACCCAGATCTCAGAGCTGGGAAGTGAAATAGATCAAAATTTGAGTGTGGGAAAATTCAAATGCCCAAAACATCGAAAATGGGTAGTTTGAGGTTGAGTGGTGTGGTGTTCGGTGAACGTTCACACGAGATAGATGACTTCATCGAAGCTTAGATATCGAGCAGAAGGAACTGGCCGAACTAAGACTTGTTATTTCGGGGGAGAAGGATCAACTGCCTAGCTACACTACATATACTTGGTTTATATAGGGTAGGAGGCATCGGGAAATATAGGGTTAGAGAAAATAAAGAAGGAGGAAAACGGGTACATCAATATATCAATGCTAATCGATACAATAATTGGTGACTTAGGCGTTGAGCGCCTAAGTCTTTTTATCAAACGTCACATACGCCCTCCATCTCATCCGAGAGGAGGAGATGCTAGACTGTGAGTTCGTTTTGCGACCTTACTGGCCGACTGGAACATCAGTCATGGCAGCTCCAAACGCAGCTATTAAAACGCAAAGGGTCAGAACCTGCAAGGTGAGGAGGCTTATGACGAAGACTCTACCCAGGAACTGGTCATCAGTCATACTCCTGATCCTAGTGTCACGTTCAAGGTCGAGCTGCTCGGCAGCGGCGATGATGTCATCGACGTCGGCGCCTTGGTCTACGCTCGGTGGTTCAGAGGAGATGGGGGCAGGGACAGGCTGGGGAGCAGTCACTAGAGCAGTAGCGGCGGAAATCACTTGTGCAACCGTAGTGGGGACTGATGGGCGAGTGCTGGGAGCACTCGCAACAGATGAGCGAGTCCTCTGGTATGGAGGTTCGTGGTTCCTCTGACGGTTGTCGATGGAGAGATGACGGCTGCTAGCCACTCGGGGCTTAGAAGCGTATAAGCGCTCTCGTTAAGAGCGAAGCTGCTGCTCAAAAGCGTGAGCTTCCTTCTTGATGGCTAATTCCTTGGCTTTAGCCTCAGTTCTGAAGAACTGAGTGAAGGCGTTGAGAGCCTCAGAGTTCGGCTCCATGTAGGAGGACCGGTATCTGCGTCCACCACGCCCTCTAGGACAATCGTTCCTCCTACTAGAGCGCGTAGCTCGAGGGGCTCGGTGATGGGTATTGGGCGAGGGTATCTCGCCCGGCTCGCTTGGAGCATGGGGAACGTCAACATCGACGATCATTGACTGGGGGAGAGGAGAAGGATGAGAGGTGTGAGACATGGGGTGATGAGGGGGATGGTTGTTGGGGGGAGACGGTAGGTGATTACTCGTTCTTATACCCAGCTGGTCCAATCCACTCGGTGACATCTCTGCAGGTAAACTGGTGAGCATCTGAGCGATAACCCGGTTAACGACAAGCTTAGCTCCCTCGGCAGTTTCTACTGCGGCAACGCTAATGTTGCGGGGTGCCTGAGCAATTTTCTTAGGCAGATGCCTGATATTGGGTACCCCAAGGGCCTCAAGATACTGGCCAACGGCCTCCAATCGAGACACTTCATGGTATGGAAGCCAAACACGATCACCGGTCGTGTACTCGACCTCGAATAGTGAGTCCATGCCTGATATTGGGTACCCCAAGGGCCTCAAGATACTGGCCAACGGCCTCCAATCGAGACACTTCATGGTATGGAAGCCAAACGCGATCACCGGTCGTGTACTCGACCTCGAATAGTGAGTCCATGCCCTGTCCAGTGTGGTTGGAGATCCGGGCTACTGACCACTCTTCAACTTTGCCGATATTGGCAATCTGGGTTAGTTGTCGCCCAGGGAAACGACGATCGTCGTTGGGAATGTGGAGGCGAAGAAGGTGGGCATGAAATGAAGGGTGCAGTCCCCTTTGTTTTAGTTCCGGCGGGATGTCAAGGAGATATGAGTTGTTACGGTAATCTTCAAGTATATTGAAGGGCCCGATGAATTTTGGAGAGAGTTTCCGCGCACGGCCTTTCGGGAGTGAAAGGTTCTCGGTGGAGAGATAGACAAGGTCGCCCTTGACAAATGGGGCTTCCTTTCGTTTGAGGTTGGAGACGGCGGTACTTTTGACGCGTGAGGCGATTAGTGTGTCATGGGCCGCCATGGAGGCGTCTTTCATCTTCTGCACGAAGGCTCGAACACCAGGGTAGTCAGTAACTACGTTCCAAATCATAGATGGGGGCGTTCTCCCATACACTAGCATGAACGGGGACTCTCGTCTGGTTTCCGAGCTCGCTGAGTTGACGGCGAATTCGATCATGGGGAGCTTGGTCGCCCAGTCGCGTTGGTTGGGAGAGACACACTGCCTGAGCATCTGCGTTATCGTTCTGTTGGCCCGCTCTGTGATCCCGTCGGTCTGTGGATGGAACGATGTCGACATACGAAGCTCGGTGCCCGTGAGCTCGTTTAGCCTCATGTAATTTGTACACTAGATTGAACATGACCTCGGCAACATCTTTGGCGCGATAGGTCTGTTTGGTGGGAGCAAGGTGCACCATGGCTGTGAGGTGGTCAATTGCCACGAGAATCATGTCGAAGACGCCGTTAAGCGTCTTCGATTCAGGTAGGGGTCCTACGAAGTCCACGCCGATCATCTCCCATGGTCTTGTGGGGACGTCGAGGGGTTCTAGCAATCCGTACGGCTGGTGGTTAGTTGGTTTTGACGTTTGGCACGTCGGGCAAGACTCACAGAATGCCCTTACGTCGGTCGCCATTTCTTTCCACCACACGTTGTCCCGCAGGTAGATAAGAGTTTTAGATGGCCCCAGGTGGGCTAGAATGGAGTGAGCGTGTGAGATGAGCACTTCGCGAATACGACATTCACCAATTCGCACGTCCGGAATGCACAGAATCCGTCTGTCGTTGTCCTTGAGGAACATTCTACCATTGCTGAGTTCGAAGTTTTTGAATGCCTGGGGCTGTTCCAGGATTTTGTTAAAGAAACGGTCCTCGTGGTACCTATTTGCTATTTTCTCGTGGATGTCTAACGAGGGATCTCCCATAGCAATTACATTGGTGAGGGTGGCAGGTGACTCAGACAGTATATTCTCAGCGGTACTTTCTGCTGAGTCCATGGTTTGTGTGTTCTGGGCTATGGCGTCAGACGTCACGTGATTTTGTGGGTCCGTGTTTGTTTGGACTTTGTACTTTGCCTGGTTGCTTATTGTACTGTTTACCCTCTCGCCCTCAAGGGACTTCGAGGGTTGTCCAACCCGTAGAGTCACTTTCCGTACTTGGGAAACAGGTGCGTGCCTCTCGTTGACTTGATCCGCTATCCCAAGGTTCCACGATGGGGAGGTAGTCGCGACCTCCGTCATCGGTCGATTAAGTGATTCTGATGGAAACACTGGGGCAATCGATACTGACGTCCTTTGCTCGTTCCTGCCAGGATCAGGATCCGCAGCGGAACTGCTCACTGGTAGACTTACACCTGTCGCAGTTGGTTCCCAACCTGCTTGAGCAGGTACTTTGCCAGGTCGCCCATCCCTTAGCTCTACTGGTTGATTGCGTTTTGCCATCATCAGTCCAGTCCGCGAGGCTTGGCGGGGCGCTGGAGTCACTCCTATTTTACCTGGAGTCTTCAAATATCCATGGTGAGTTTTCATACCTGCACGCCCCACTGGATCTGACTCTATCTCCTCCGCCGTGTCAGACACAAGTTGGTTTCCTGTGTATTGTCCAGGCGACCTCATGTCTTTGTTGACGGTTTGTCCAAGTGACTTCCCGTTATCTCCGGGTGAGTCGCTCTGTTTCCTGTTAGTGTCAGTGAAATTTGACGCCGCTTCCAGGTTTTGTAGGAGAGCACTCACGCTGTTCGAGTCTGCCATGGGTTGGCTCGTCGAGTCTGTCCGTTCGACAGCCGTGTCTGTCCGCCCTGTGGATCGTTTGTTGGGACGACGACGGATGGGTTGCTCTGGGGTAGGGGCATTGATTCGCTTGATGGCGATTCGAGCTGATCTCCTGGCTTCTGCCGCGCCTAGGAACAACGGTGTACCTGTGTACACTGGCGCGGACACAAAATTCAGAAGTAGGGTGCGTGCCTTGTGGTCTTCCTCTACACTGATGTACTCACTTGCTGACCGTACCGTCCCCTTAGGTTCATTGCTGTATACACGGGATAACGCATCTGCGAGTGTATTCTCCTCGCCGGGTAGGTAAGTGATTTCAAAGTCAAATTCACTCAGCGCCTCTAACCACCTGGCCTGTCTAGGGGAGAGTTTGGATTGAGTGGATATCCATTCAAGTCCCTTATGGTCCGTGAACACGCGGAACTTAAACCCAATCAGTAAGTGTCTGAAACGTTTCAACGACTCAACGATTGCTAAGAGTTCTTGCTCGTGGACAGGATAATTCTGCTGAGCAGAGTTGAACTTACCAGACCAAAACGCGATGATCTCTGCGTCGTGGATGTTCGGGCCTTGCGTAAGTACTCCGCTGGCTCCTGTGAGAGATGCATCCGTAACGAGGTTAACAGGGTTTATTCCCGCTATTGCAGGCCCTAGGTCTATCGCCTTACGCCGGGTGTTCCGGTGTGCTTCCACGCACGTCTTTACCAGGTCAAACGCCCTTTGGTCGGTTGGGTCCCAAGTCCACTTCGTCGTTCGAGCCGCGATTTTGGAGAGGTGCTGCATATCGATGCGTACGCCCTCGCACCCTGCTACTAGGTACCCAACGGATCCTATGAATTGCATCAGCAATTCTTTCGAGGTAGGCGTTTTCCAGCTACTGATTTTATCAATCTTATGCGGGTCTAGGCGGAGCCCCTTCAGTGACTTGACCCTATGGACTCGGCCAGCCCAAGTTGACATTTCTCCATAGGTGTCGGGCCAGCCCACTGTGGGCCCACATTAGAATGTCATCCGACGTTGATGGGTGGGCCGGTGGATGCATTGTCACCGACTGTTAGCGGTGGGCCCACGGTAGACTGGGCTCGATACGTTGGGGTGGGCCCATGGGTGTCAGAATTAATAGATGTGTATTGATGGGTGGGCCTACAATATTGAGTCCTCGTTACCCTCGGGTGGGCCCACGGTCCATAAGTACCTCCGACCGTTAGGGCTGGGCCCATGGTAGAATGTACTCGATGCTTTGGAGTGGGCCCATGGGTATCAAAATTAATGTATGTGTATTGAGGGGTGGGCCTACATTATTGAGTCCTCACCACCTTCGGGTGGGCCCACGGTTCATAAGTATCGGCGGCAGTCCGCCGGCGCCAGTAAATGCGGTCGGCGAGAAATGGGCATTAGTTTCGGCGAGGGGATCCTGGAAAACGGTATCAGAGAATGGATATCAGGCATGGCGTCCGACAGCGGTCCATTAACATCGGTCATTGTATTCCGTGGAATAGGATACATGTATAGATATCGGGAACGAGTGCCGGCGATGGTCTGCCATGGCCTATTGGCATCGGCCGGGTCGATATGTATCGGCGGCAGAACCCCGAGAAACGGTTTCGGCGATAAATGGGCATTTTGTAATGCAGTCAATTAGCTTCGGCGAAGGGATCCTGGGACGCAGTATCAGTGAACGGATATGAAGTTGCCGATGTGACAGGTTGATAGATACATAACACGGCTGAATCCCGTTGCACCAGTATCTCGCCGGCACAATGTTCGGTCGCCGGCAAGACCATTGTCATCAGCGACACCGTGGGCAATACTGCAGTTGGTACAGGTGCCGGCAATGCCTACATCTCCCCGGCAGAAGTATCTGGCTCGCCGGCACTACTGTCTATATTCTGTAAATGCTACCGGCAACTTTAACCGCTGGCAAATGAATTGATTTGAGGACCGGATCAGCATGCATCAGTCAATGCCAGCGGCAAACTTAATCTAGGGCAAATGAATTCATTTGCGGACCAGATCTCTGACCGGCATATATGCACTTGTAGGGGGGAAAAGGGATTTTCATAAAGGGGCATATCATAATATCATAGGGTCATATGTATCAGGCTGATTGCAGGCGTTTATCTACATTTATAGGATCCAATTCAAACTATGGTAATACAAAGTAAGTCCAATTCATGCACAACAAATTTCATTCATGGGCGGAGGATGCAATAGATGCAGACTCAGCTGCCGCCTCAGCCTCTGCTACAACATCATTGGTGTTGCCGCTGAGGCCGGCAATGTCACCAGAGGGAGCGGCAGACTCTAGATCCTCAGGAACATCCAGTTCCATGGCGTTGCCACTGGCGCCGGCATTGACACCGGACGTGGACTCAGCTTCAGCCTCTCCAATAACTCCAGGAGCCGACTCAGCTCCATCTTCAGCCGCAGCAATATTGTTGCTGTTGCCGCTGAGGCCGGCAATGTCACCAGACGGAGCGGCAGCCTCCAGATCCTCAGAAACATCCAGATCCATGTTGTTGCCACTGGCGCCGGCATTGACACCGGACGTGGACTCCGCTTCAGCCTCTCCAATACCTCCAGGCGCGGACTCAGCTCCATCTTCAGCCGCAGCAATATTGTTGCTGCTGCCGCTGAGGTTGCTGATCATCACCGGCAGGCAAGCCAGGACAGGTGATGCCGGGACTGGGGGAGGGAGCAACTGGCGGTGAAGTTCTTCAAATTGCTCAGGCGAGCAATTTTGAAGCCGCCTCCTGGTCAGGCCAATCTCTGATTGGCTTCAAGGAGACGCTTCTCCCCAAGGCTGACCTTTGCCTCCAATGAGGCGACGGTGGAATGTAAGGCCTCGATTAGGGCTACAACAGATGCATCTGCTGGCCGATCAGGAGTGGAGGCGGCGGCGGGAGTGGGAATGGGAGCGGTGGCGGTGATGGGAGCGGTGATGGGAGCGGGAGCGGCAACGGGAGCGGTGATGGCAGCAACAACCGGTGCAGGTGCACCAGATGTGGAGGCTGCTGCTGGAGCAGCTGAATCAACTACATAATGTTAGATAAAATTGACAAATACAACTCTGTACTTACCTGTCTCTGGGGAGACATGCACAGGTGATGGACGGCGGCGAGATTTTGAACACGGGGGCCGAGATGTGGTCGCTGCGGCTTTCTTGCCTTTGGTGGCTGGGATGGCAGAACCGTTACCACCGCACCGATGCTTGAGGCGGTGGCAGCTTTCGCACACGGTGAGTGGTGACCCGGCAATGTTGAAGCCTTGGCGGCATGCAAGCCCTCTGTGGCGGCATGGGCCGCAACCAGGCCGCCATACGTTGGGATCGGCGGCGTCATTGCCGGCGATCGCAATTGGTGCGGGCTGCCTTGTGTTAGAACTTGAGTGAAAAATGGGGGGAACAACACTTACTGGAACTAGAATGTATGGAGTGCCCATCTTCGGCGCCGGGCCAACGTTCATCGGCATCTCTTCATCTTCCTCATCAGCAATCTCGACATACTTCTTCGGCATCTTGGGTGGAGGGTTGGTCGGCGCCTCGACATCCTCCTCATCGGTGCTGGTGATGGTGAGGGATGCCGACTTGCTGGCCAGCCGGGTCTTCCTGAGGGCGGGGGGAAGTCTGGTGGGCAAGGATGACTGGCGCAGAGGTTAGAACAGAAAGATAAGTAAAAGGCCAGACTCACCTTCTTCCTGGCCGCCGGCACCGGTTTGTCCTGAGGAATGTCGGCCTCGTCCAACTCCCGGTCGTCCTCGCTGGTGATCATGGCCTTGGAGGTGGCACGTTGCCGTTTAGCCTTCGGCGCCCGACTCTGACTACGGGCGGTGCTGAGGCAGCGGATTCACTTGCCTCGTTCCATACCGCGACCGCGCTCTTCTGTAGATTCGGCCACAGGATCTTCTCGTGCCTTGCCCTTGCCCTTGCCTGCAAGGGCTGCGGCATCCTGGGCCAATGCGGCATTGGATCCAGACAGACCGGCAACAGGAGGAATGGTGGGGGGAAGGCGGTTGGACGGACCGGCACGAGGAGGAAGGGCGGGGGCAGGGGGGTTGAGTGGACCGGAAACAGGAGCATTGGTGGAGGGAGGGGGGTTCCCATAGCCATGAATGCAGGGGTAAAGCGGGCTGGAGCGGCTCCGCGGATCGTCTGGGCGAATGTTGGACCAGACCGGGGCAGTGGCAATCTTGCAGCGGGATGCGTCCAGGTGCTCATGAATCTCTGCGGCGGCAGAGAGCACCATGGGCGACACAGAGGTTGCCCCATAGGCAAAGGAGCCGAAGGTAAAACTCTATACCAAGATTAGCGAATGTGACACTGAAGGTAACACATCTAAGAAAACTTACAAGGGTTGAGGCCAGCTCCGTCCCAAGTGCGATGTGTCTGGGATCGGCAGGATCCAATTGGAGAGCCTGCCCCAGAATGTAGTCGACCTTGTCGGCTGCAGCACGGAATGCAAGATTAGAGCTGTTAGCGGCCCAGTCAACTGAAGTGGTCATGGTGGTAATGGTGTAAAGATGAGAGGCGACGATGAACCGTGATGCTCAATAAATACAAGTCCGATGTGAAATGTAATGTGGCGGCTGATTATGTCACACATCCAATATATTTCCATATTGGGTCAATGTGGACAATGGAGATCTGCAATTCACAAATTCGGCATGTTCCGGCAATCTCCAATTCACAATGCCGGCAAACCCCACAGACACAGACCTGTGACGCCGGTCAAGTAGTGATCACACGATTTACCCTCGGTATTGTTCACATTATCATTGTGGACCACGATCATCGATTGTTGCCAAAGCGAACTGCCGAACAAAGTCTCACGGGCCGCATTCACCCACCCATTTGAAACCGCCGATTGCTGCGAGTTCAAACTCCGATTGTGGCAAATTGTATAAATTTACCTTCGCCAATCATCACATTCCAAATATTCAATCATGTCTAAGATTCCTGGTACCACCGAGCGCCCCAGCCCATCTGGCGACTCTTCTACCACCGAGCGCCCCAGCCCATCCGGCGACTCTTCCACCAGCGGCAGCAGCACCGACAACCCTCCCAGATTCAATCTTGCCGATATGGCAAACATATTCGAGTTCGCCGCATCCCGCCTGCTGGCTATACGGACATCCATGGAGAACAAACCTCCTCCATCATCGGCAACACGGCTAATTTTCAGCAAGTACCTTATGTGGGAGGCCGATGTAAGTCCTCGAATTCTTCTCATTAATCTAAGTTTATTAATCGCCAATCAGGCTTTTTTCATGCCTTGGATCACGTATTGCGAAGGCATGTGCATTGCCCCGCCCTTGTCCAACAGGCTCCGATACTGCGTCGGGATCCTTGGCATGAGCTCGACGGAGCTCCTGACCTACCGGCAGCTCTATGACCAATTCATGCAGTTACCGGTGGAGCCATCCGGCGCCTGGGCCAGAGGGCGGGTTGTCAAGAGCTATCCCTTGGACTGGTGGAACACTCCTTTTGATACGGCCGACTACGAGACCTTCACCTCCAGTTATCCCGGCTGGAGGCAAGTCGGGGACATGGTTGAAGCCCACTTTGAGCAATTGGTAAGTCATCCTCATTTCAACTGTGCCGCCACCTTACAGTTCAATTTAGCCAGAAAGCCAGTGGTTGATAACCCCGGCGACGTTGGTGCAAGCAAGATCAACGCCGGTAGCCCAGCAATTGGCCACCATTCAAGCCGGGGTCAGACAAGGAAATGAGCAGATTGTCAAGATGTTGGAGGATAAGGTAGTGGAGGCAAAGCTTGTAGCAGCCTCCTTAATGAGAATGGAGACCGCATTGGGTGAAGATGTGCGCGGCGCAATCGCCGCCACCGAACTCCTGGTCAAATATTTGAAAGGGGAACAGAATTAAATTACCTAGAATGACACGGTATGGTACATTAGTTCTAGGTTGATTAGACTACACTATAGAAAGTCCATCCACACCAGGAGTTAATCAACAAGAGACGAGAGGAGCACTTCACGCCGTTTCCTTTCAGCGATTATATCGACCTCACTGACAATGTATCATCTTCGAGTGGTGGTAGTCAAGCGCCCAATGCATCTATGTCAAAACCTCACGAATCTGCGCAATCCCCACATATGGAGACTTCATTTATTACTACAAGGATGTCAAAGGCATAAATCTATAAGACCGCCGGCATGATATTCATTGGGTCCGGGCCGCCTTTGAGACTTCAAATGCATCCCGGGAATCCACATACAGCCGCTGATACATTTTGCACTGCCGCGCCGCATAGGCAAGGTGTCCCACCTTGTCGGCGGCTTTGGCGATGCTAGCCAGATGGATCCATTGCTCGGCTTTGTGCAAGAAGAAGTTGCATGTCCAGTTCATTTCATGCTGGACAAGCAGCATTTCCTCCTCCCAACGGTCTCTTAGAGCCTTGGCTCGGAGCCAATGCACCCGGTAAACTGAATGTTGTCGGCAGAGTCAGCGGCACCCGGCGAAGAATGTGTGAAGACCTCACATTCATTCAACCAATCACTGCTATCAGAGTCTCCCTCCACATCCATAGACCAGAACCAAGCCAACATGGAGTTTCTCTGCCCTCTGGCATTGGGATCGGCGACGGCGGTGCTGATCTTGAGATGTTCTTTAAGCAATGGCCGGTATCTGTTCAGTAAAATGTCGGCGGCGCCGAGCTTGCCGAGTTGAGACCGGCACTTGGAATATATGCTTGCATTGATGCTTACTGCCCGGTCCACTGAATGGATCTGGGCCCAAGCTCTGGTGGACTTTGCTTGCGACTTCGCCGTTCTGACAGTCTTTCGGAAGATGACCGCCTTGTCTGCCAGGTGCACTCTGATGTTGTGCAAGGCGTCATTGGCTTGTCCTTCCCGGAGAACCCGTTCTTGATGGATGACATCTGCGGCGCCGAGCTCGGCGCATCTCCCCTGGCCCAGATTGGATGGCAGTGGTATTACAACCTTTTCGGGCTCAAACAGTCTGAATTCATCAGCCGTTTCATCATCTGAGTCTTCTTGAAGGATCAGCAGCTCATGTTCCATGATGTTGAGGTCGGCATCACCAAACCCGTCGCCGACAAAGGTCGCCGCTGTCGCCGACCAATGGTCAATGTCTCCTTGCAGTCTCTCACGACGCCGCCCAATCTCCAATCGTTGGTTCTCCGTCGGCCGCCGCCCTAGCTTTCGAACATCCATGTGGAGAGTCACCTGTGCCTCCTCAATTGAAAGCCCTTCTGCCTAGTGATGTGCATGGCCCGGCTTCAAGCCGTGGGCCGAGCCAAGCCGGGCCAAATTAGGCCGGGCCAAGCCGAGCCAAACTGACGGCCTGACGAGGGCTTTGGCCCGGCCTGGAATTCTGAAAAGCCAAAGCCGACGGCTTGAGCCGCGGCTCTAGCCAATCGTCTCTACCATCGACAACGACATCAGCGCCCGGTCAGCCACGGTCCCTCGAACTCTTCAACTTCCTGAATGTCCCAGAAGTTAACAATCTAGGGAGTCCAGCCCTTCCTATCCATCCATACAAGTCTGGGACACTGGAGCCTCTGACAGAGCACCGGCCGTTCACGCTGCCGACGACTCTTCCACCAAACTTACCCTCAACATTATCATTCCCACTTCGCCACATCAGTCAATGTGTTTGTAAATGTTGAATAAGTATACTAACATACTCACAGATTCTCGTCCTCTGTTGCGATGTCAGTTGTATATGGCTACCAGCCTAGTGCTCGTGATGATCCTATGATTCGAATCGCGGAAAACGCGCTAGCTATTGGCCTTGACGTGTTGGCCCCAGAGAGAGCATTTTTGGTTAAAACATTCCCCTTCTGTAAGTTCAGCTTTCTTTGATATGAAGGATCTGACATTTGGTACTCTTACGCAGTATTGAAGCTACTTGATTGGTGTTGGGGATCTTGGATCAAACACGAAGTTCGAGTTTTGACTCACTGTGCGAATGAAATGAGGGACGTGTTGTTTTGATATGCGCAGCAGCATGAGGTGGGTATTGTTTTGTATTGAGCGAGATGAGGCATCCAAACCAATGCTCGAGGCTGCCTTAAAGAAAGCAGCTCATATGAGACGGTCAGCGCATGTCTGGACTATACTGTCTGCTGATTAATGTCTCCACAGGCTACTTCAACCTTAATGGCCTTTGCTCTCGCCATGGTGTCTCACCCAGATGTTCAAAGACGCACAAGAGGAGGTCGACATAGTGACTGGAAGAGATCGTTTACCTACGTTCGAGGACAGAGCATCACTACCCTACGTTGAATCAGTCCTGCGGGAGGCTTACCGATGGCACCCCATTTTACCCCTTGGTATTCTTCTTCACCGAGTGATCTGGTCTCTAAAAAGCCATGATAGGCCTAAGCCAAGCCGCAGCTTTGGCCTGGCTTTGGCTCACGGCTCGGCCTGAGGTTTTCCAAAGCCAAAGCCGCCCCAGGCCAGGCCAAAGCCGCGGCTTTCAGGCCAAGCCGGGCCGGCACATCACTACTTCTGCCAGCCATGTCGCCACTCCCCTTCGCCGAGCAGGAGCAGGTTGCTGGCCATTTTCATCCAGCATCCTTAATTCCTGTTCTTTCCTGGTCGGCGCTACCTTGCGGTAAGCCTGGATGTCACTGATATTCAAGGCGCATACCTTTTTGAAGTTGAACCTCGTAAATGTCCATTGCCGTTGGATCGGTGCTACGCCGTTCCTGTGCCATCCTCTCCTGCTCTCCCCAGTCCCTGACATTTTTCTCGTCGGCACTCAGATCCAGCTTCTCAAAGGCTTCCCTGCTGTCGGCGAGCCCTTTAACAGCTTGCCTGAATTTCCGGCAAAGGGCCTTGCCTGCATGATCCGGTGAGCAAATTGATTGAGGACCAAGGGAGCACCCACCCATCCTGATCATTTTCATGAAATTGCAATCATTCATTTGGTAATCCAGGCACTCCTTGCGGTGAGGGGTCCCCATCCCCTGCGCCGAAGGAGAGATAATGTTCAACGGCGCCCAAAGGGTCTCCATGATCTCGCCGTCAATTCTGGCGGCGCCGGCAATAAAGTTAGAAGCATAGCGAACATAGCAGCTGTCTTGGTGGCCATGAACATGCCATAGACCTATCCCCGGTATTATCTCCAACTCCTCTTGAATTTGCAAATAAGGGCTGTCAGCTACCCGATCCTTCAGATACTTATGGTACTGGCAATTAACATCATAAAAGGTCAGTGCGCGCCGGATGCCACCGGCGTTGTGCTTCAATGCCTCACACAAAGCATAGTCCATGTTCATCTGCCTGATGTGCGTCGGCGAGGATCTCAAGGCAAGGATACACTAATTACTTACCTTTCTCCCTTCTGAAAATCCACCATTGCATGCGGGACGAAGCAGCCATGCCTGGTGCAGGCACAACCGCCGATGCCGGTTGCCTCCAGTCTGTGGCGGGATGCATTGGCTTGATTCACCGCGTGGTGGTTGTTGCACTCGGACCATTGAGCGGCGTCCTTTGCCAGAGACAGATGCGCCTTGTATTTGCTGTCACCAACCATGAAGCCGCGTCCATCCATCAGGGGGACTTCATCAATGGGATTCGCCGCATGCATATGCTCTGCTTTGAAGTTGCCATCCATGACCAGCGATCTTGAATACAACCAACTCGGCGTCTCCAGATCTGATGTGGTATCGATCTCCACAGGGCCTTCTGCAGTTGGCAATGTCACATTAATTCCCGGCTGGGGACATGCCGGGCAGAAGAGAGCGAGATCGCCGGGTTTTACATCTTTTTCCTCGTGGCCGAAGCCGTTCCATTTCAATAGCTTCAGCTGCCGCCACTGCCTTGCCACTCGCATGAGCTCCCGGTAGCGGTCCTATGGAGTTGTGAACTTTACATTGGGCCGCCAATGGATGAATACTCTCACCGGCACCAAATGCGGAAAGACATTGGTTGTCATCCTCCTCAACTTGCTGTAATAATTCATCGCCGAGGTCCCGCACTCCAAATTATCCAGTAAGAAGTCGTCCAATACATCGAAAGTGAATGCGGTCTTTGGTTGGGTAAAGGATGCAGGAAACAAGCCCAATTGAAACAGCTGTAGGTCGACGCTTGGGGCATCGGCGCATATGCAATACTTGATGATGTGTGTGTGTACTCCAGACTTGTCCACTATTGTTGTCATGGTCTTGTCATTCTTTATGAATGGCACTCCAGTAGGCAGATCGTGATGGTTCTTTGACGAATTAATATTGGCTGTTGGCGTTGTCGCATGCTCGGCATCAGCATCGGCATCAGTGTCGGTGTCGGTGTCGGTGTCGGTGTCGGTGTCGGTGTCGGTGTCGGTGTCGGCGGCAGCAAAAAATCCTTCATCACCAGCATCATCGACCCCATAGTTTTGGCGTGGGCACACATTTCCGCCGTGCCCCAGTGAAATCACTAGCCCAGTCTTCACCAGGCAACAGTCCTCGAAGAAACCACCTGTCCATTGACTTATCCTATGGAAGGGCAGCCTCTGGTGCTCCGTCCTGCAACAATTTGTGCAAAATAGAGGCTCACCGAAGCAGTTGTGACATTTGTAGACACCATCGGTCCCACAAATGATGCAAGACCGGTCGGCAGGAGCTTCTCGTTCAAGGAGTATGCTGAGATATCTATTGGTCCTTGGGACCCATTGCCGAAGATAGTCATTCTGACTCTTGAAACAAACTGAGTGAGGGACAGAACGAGGTCCTATGGCTGCTGGGCAGGGCTTACCAGAGACTTTGGTAGCTGCAGGGGTATGAAATCCTGCTGGTTGAGGTCGCCGACACAATCATCTCCACCGAGAAATAGCATATCCTCGGATGGCCACTGGTTCGATGATGACTTGGTAGGGGTGGCCGGAACTGATTGAAATTTTCGGGTCTTGGGTCTCTCTACCCATTTCCCAGTTGCTTTCCTGGTCCGATATGTTTTCTTCCATTCCACCAGACAAATATTGCTGGTAGGAGTCCACTCCTGCACTTTGGAGCCCCTCATGTGCTAAAGCCGATGGTATGTGATGATAGAAGCTAATGGAAGCTGAGATCACCCGCTTCTAAACCACAACAAACTGTGATGTAATGCATGCTCGGTATCAGTGTTCTCATGTGCCATCATCAAACACCGAGGATTAGGCTTCAATCAGTCTTGCAAAGGGTTTGTTTCATCAGGTAGACATGATGCTGATTTCAGAGTTTGCCATGCATATATAACTTACAGTCATGTGTACATACAAGGGGCAAGCAATACATGGCATGCTGATAGTGACATGCTTTGCACATATACTGACATAAGACATCCATTACATACTTATTATTAGGCTTCTATTAGGCTTCGTTTTCAACTGGAATATGTGATGCTAATATTGGAGCCATGGATGCATAACAGACAGCCATGTCTGCACAAGAGGAGCAAGCAATATCAGGCTGATGCATTGTGTTGACGGCTATCATGTAGCTATATGTAAATAACATGAAATGTCATAGGAACCGAGGGATCCGAGTAAGGGCAGTCGAAACCTACAATTTTCAATATCCCACCATTCAGACCAACGGCCATCTCACAAAATGGCTCGGAGTGAATCCCCGGTCATTGTCCCCCAGCAGACAAAGCTTCCTTTGATCAAGGCCGAAATTGCTGTCCTCAAGACCCACCTCGAGGACTGGAGGACTGTGAAAGGTAAACAGAGACAGAATGTATTGAATGCCATCCACAGGGAAGCTTGCCTCCAAGCTCCTACCCGTGACAAAGCCATGCTCAAAAGCCGGAAAAAGGTATGTGCCATTGTACATATATGCATGCTATAGCTATTTATTTCCGACAACAGACCTACAAGGAATGGCTCTACAACCAGTGTCGCTGGAAGGCTCCAAAGCCTCTCATCAAGTATGGCAAGAAATGGACCGCTCACCGGGTGTTGATTGAGCAGAACAAAGCCCAGATACAAGAGGAGACCGGAGACACACCTGGGAGTGAGGGGATGATCACCAAGTGGCCGGAGGCCACAAAAACAGTGCTTGCCAGTCTGTCAGCAGAGGAGAAGGAAGAGGCTAGAGTGACCGCAGAGAAGTGGAACAATGAAGCTGCGCTGCCGGACATCCAAGCCAATGTCGCCGAGATCAAAGGCGCCGACATGATTGAGCATTTTGCGACCGAAATGTTCAAGCAGGCTGGAATGAGGATCTTTGTGATGTCGGCATGGCAGAACCGGGAAGGCAAACTTATGTTGGGAGTGTGAGTGATGTTTGAATTGTACCGCCGGTCAGCCAGATCTAAAATTTTCGAAGACATGATTTCAATGAGCAGTGTGGCGGCGGTGAAAGCTTTCTGAAGACAAGGGATTGGGAAGGGAACTTCATGCCGGACTGGCGGCAATATGCCGGCGAGCAATTCGGTGAGATGCCAATCCAAGAGAATGAAGAGGCATTCTAATGCACAAATATTCAGATGTCCAGGATCAAGATGTCCCCCAGATTGTGACAGCCAAGAAACGCGTGCCCCGAAAGCTCCTTGAACTGGAGGAGGATGATGATGGGTGGCCAATGCTCCCGGACACCACAGGCTGGAAACGCAGTGAACAACAGCATATCATTCAGTCGTTCCTCACTAGGCACTACAGTCAGTTTAGTTCTTCTTTGCTATGCCGCCGGGTATTAATTTCAACAGGGATGTGCATGGGAAAGGAAAAAGCCGCGGCGGCGGTGCCATGGGGCGACTTGGTAAAGAGCCAATCAGATTTCTTCGACGACGCCTACTGGCCCGCCGACGTACAGTTGGTGGAACCATCAAAGATGGACAAAGCAGACACCACCGCTCTGTTGTATTTCTGGCATCGCCGACAGCAAAGGAAGCTTCGCCCAACCTTCTGCTTCAAAGCTTGGAAGGACACCGACGGCGACATGGAGAAGCTGGCAAAATCTTTTTGCGGGGCAATGCGGCGAGCGACTCAGCATGGCCAGAGCACCAGCAAGCAGAAACATGCCTCAAGACAGGATGAGCAAAGCGGTGATGAGGAAGAAGAGGAAGAGGAGCGTCAGTCATCTGCCGACGAAGATCAGGAGGTTTCAATGTCTGCCAATGACAGGAATGAATCATTCCCTATCAAGGTAGTTCAGAGAGGTCTGCTGCCGGTATCCATTGATGGCCCCGGTGATGAGTTGGCATCTGACAACCTTGCCCCTCACATCAATGATTCCACCGGCAGATATACCAAGGCAACGCCTCCAGTCAGGTCAAAGACGACCAGCAATATCACAGTTGCGCTCAACACAGCAGATGAACCGGCAAAATCAGGTCCCCGGACCGCAAGGCAAGGTCTTCGTTCCAATGTGGAGAATGAGCCGCCGGCCAAGGCTTCCAAACGCCGTGCCGCCGCCGAGAATGAGCCGCAGGCCAAGGCTTCCAAACGCCGTGCCGCCGCCGAGAATGAGCCACAGGCCAAGGCATCAAAACGCCGGGCCCCAGTTGAGAATGAGCCGCCCACCAAGGCATCAAAACGCCTAGCCACCGCTCCCATCAGTGACACGCCGGCCAGGAGAACCAGGAGCAAGGCAGCGGTTGCTGACGCTCCAAAGGCCAAACAGAGTAGGAAGTGATCATTGCCGCCTATCATAATGATCATGTATATGAGCTACAATTGAAATACCATCCTATGCCAAATGATATCTCCTATTGTGAGCACCGCCGGTATCAAATCCCAAGATGTTTTTGCCGGCTTGATGCCATGTCACATGATATACCTTGTTTCAAATACCATTTGATGTGCCGCCGGTCATCTCGCTGATCGATATGGGTATGGGTAATATAGTACATTTCATTGTCACTGGTGATATGGCACAGGATACATGTAACAAATTGAGATTTTAGCTTCTACTCATCAGAGGCGGCAATCAATTCCTCTGCTATCTCCACCTCACACAATAGGGAGTTCACCATTGGGGCGACCCTTTCCTGCACCTGTGCCATATGATGCAAGCTGATCATGTCCTTGAAGATCCTGGTCAGCCTGTCCCGGTTTTCACAGAACGCCGACATCATAACCTGGTTGCTGTCCAAGACTTCGTCGGGCATAGGGTCCCGGACGTTCTCGGTGGCACGAATGCGGCCGCCGACCATCATCATTGCCACATAATCAACTGGTTAAAATTAGTTAAACTGCATACAACTATGCGGAGATGTGGCTTACATTCGTCTCCATGGAGGCGTTTGACGATGTCGATCGCCGCTTGCTCGGCATTGCCAATTAAAGATGCCAATGTTGGCTGCTGCGGCCTCCTTGCAGGCGGTGCAACCGGCGCTGGCGGCATGGCACCAGATGGGCCATCGGCGGGCATCAGCGATGGTGCTCGGATCGGCACCGGTTCCCAATCTCCTATGGGCGGGAGAGGCCCGCAGTTGAACTGGAATGCTGCTGGAGGGTCAGAATTGACTAATACATAGGAATCGAACTTACGCCTATTGGCGGCAGTATAGGCCACATGCCGGTCTCCAGTTTGTACCGCCGGTACCACCTCCTGTGGCTGCTTGATGGGGATGTTGAGGTTGAAGCCAAGGTTGAATGGCTGGAGGATTGGGCTGGCAGGAAGTTCTGCCTGGGGCGGGGTGGAGGGCGGGGTGAGCTGAAAGCCCAAATTAAACGGCTGGAGGACTGGGCCGGCAGGTGGTTCTGCTTGGGCCGGGGTGGAGCGAGGCAGGAGGCCAAAGCCCAGATTGAATGGCTGGAGCACTTGGCCGGCAGGTGGTTCTGCTTGGGCCGGGGTGGAGCAAGGCGGGAGGTCAAAGCCCAGATTGAATGGCTGGAGCACTTGGCCGGCAGGTGGTTCTTCTTGGGCTGGGATGGAGCGAGGCGGGAGGTTGAAGCCCAGATTAAATGGCTGGAGCACTTGGCCGGCAGGTGGTTCTGCTTGGGCCGGGGTGGAGCAAGGCGGGAGGTCAAAGCCCAGATTGAATGGCTGGAGCACTTGGCCGGCAGGTGGTTCTTCTTGGGCTGGGAGGTCCAAGCCCAAATTGAATGGCTGCTGCATTGTGGGGGATGCGGATGCCACCGACGACATGGGGATGTCCATGCCGAAGTTGAACCTTGGCAGCGGAGGCGCCGCCGGCGCGCCAATTCCAAAATAAAATGCTGAGGTCTGATTAGATCAGAGTGGTCGACTGAGACAAGACTTACCTGTGTTACCCACGGCGGCATTGGATGTCGCCGATCCATATCGAGATTCATCATCGGTATCCATTGGAATTTCGAATCGGACTTGGCGTTGCTCTGGTAGTGACATGGCGTTCACAATTAAGTTGGAGGATAAAAAATTAAGTGACGACAAATGGATTCGGCCGTGTTAAATATCTGATTGTGTGGATTGTGGATGATTGCGGAACTTTAAATTCAGCAGCCCAAACAAAGCATTTCGGTGCCACAAGTTGGACACGTGATTTCAAAACACTTCCTTTTTAATTAAAACATTGCCGCATGGAGTTGCCTGCCGTGCCACGAACCACTCATTTTAAAATTTCTTTGCTTCCTACCGGCATATTACCAGATCTTTCATCGCCCGCCCATTGTCCATCTTTCAAGTTTATCCCTCCCATCATGCCCTCTGCTGAGACATCCAACAAGGCTTTGAGCGATGCTGCCGCTCAGGTCCTTCACATACTGGCAGTTGCGATCATGCTGCAGGACGGTAATCCCGAACACCTTCGGTTCACTGTGCAGGTGGGGAATATCATGGTGGGTATTTCTCTATTAGCGCCGGGTGATATGCTGATTTCGAGTAGACCCCGGTTTTTGCAATGCATTCCAATTCGGCGACTGTGGTCCCCCCTGTCTTGCTCTCAGCAGCCATGGAGATGCAGGAACACCTAGACGACACCCGGCAACGGTTTGTCAGTGCCCCAGTGTGGGAGAACATCGTGCCGATGATCCCTGGATCCAGAAGCATCCGTTGAAAGACAAGGCCCCCGCACCATCTTGGTATCGAGGCCGGTGCCATCTACATCCACCGCCGCAGTCGCACAGTCTACGCCAGGCCCGGGCCCATCAAGGCCAAAGCCCAAGCCCAAGCCGGCGTTAAAGAATAAGCCGGCATAGGGTATAATTAGACAAGGGTAAGGCAAAGAAG